ATAGTGAAGAGTGGGGAAGCCTCAAGGAACCAGAGGAATATTGTGTGTTTCACTCGTGTTATACTGTGGCCAGGTTGACTCATCCCTTCCTTGTGACCCTTCTGTGAGGGCATGCCTCATTGTTTACAGATGGGTTTGGGGTCTCTGCTCTAATCCCCCTCATTCTTAACAGTATGGCTTGTTTGCTTGGTTGGTTGGTTGCTTGCTTTGGGTCTTCTGATGCCTGTTACCTGATCCCATTGACACCTCATGATCACACTAGTTGGTGTGCTTCTTCCATGTGGGCTTGTTGCTTCTCTGCTACATGGCCACTTATTTAACTTCAAGCCTTTAAGACCCCAGACACTATATCTTTTGATAGCCTGGCACCATCGGCTTTCTTCACCACATTTGCTTATGCACCCATTTTGTCTTCAGCAATTGTGCCGGGAGGGTGCTCATAAATTTTTAAGATTTAAATTCTGATATTCTCTTTCAGCCAAGTTGTACCTGACATTAGTAATGATAATCCTTTCATTTCACATCCTCGTCTCAATCAAGCTTGAGTTTCTGGCAGTTTCCTGTTAATGTGCTGCTACAACCACTTTTGAATTATCCTTAAAATTATAATCAAATTTTATTTGTGTTTGATATTAGTGATAGTATTCAATAACTCCTGAATTCTACTGAATTACTTTCCTTTGGAATGAGCATACATATGGATCTCTTCCAATTGGATATGGATTTCTTCCAGTTCTAGACATAGATGAGTAAGTACCATTAATGTGTTGAAATATTTTAATTTATATTCAGTCATTTCCAGAACCTTTTTTTTAAATCAAATGCCCTTAGTCAGCTTGGATGTCTTCCTTCAGTACGATCTGTTGTTGCTCTTATCCTACCTCGTGAAATAGTTGACTGTTGACCAATTATTTTTAGAACAGTGACAGTGTATTCCGTCTTCTTTTGACGTTTCCTTTGTAATTTGGTATTTACCCCTTTGCAACTCATAGCTTGATATTTTTTTCCAGCCTTTAAGCTTGAGATATAGTTTTCGTTTTTGGCTTTCTATCTCCAAATCTTTGACTATTTCATTATTATGTTTTATTTGTCTTTTTGAGCTGCCCTTTGAAATTTCCTGCTCAACTCTTGTTCCCTTCTTTCTTTCATTCATTTTTAGCTACTTCATGCTCAAGAAAATTTGAGTCTCTTCTGAAATCCATTTTAATCTTCTCTTTCTTTTTTGTCTTTTTCTTTCTTTATGTACGGTGGGGGTTTTTTTGTTTTTGTTTTTTAATCCAGATTTAGTTTATTCTTTCAGCCAGAATGTGTTCCATTCTTCCTTTTGTCCTGAAATCTTTTTTTTTTCTTTTTTAACATTTTA